CACACGCGCACACACGCGCACACACACGCACACACGCACATACACATACACACACGCGCACACGCACGCACACACATGCACACACGCGCACACACGCGCGCACGCGCTAGCGCACACGCGCACACACACACGCACACGCACGCACACACGCACACACACGCACACACACACTCACACACACGAACACACACGCTCATACACACGCACACACACGCACACACACGCACGCACACGCACACACGCACACGTGCACGCACGCACACAACACACGCACACACACGCACATTCACCCACACCCAAGCCCACACACACAGACACCCATGCACACTCATTCACACACGCGCACACTCACACACACAAGCGCACACTCACACACACACACACCCACAACACACACACACACTCACAAACACACGCGCACGCACACACACGCGCGCACACGCACACGCACGCGCGCGCACGCGCGCGCGCACGCGCACGCGCAGCGCACACGCACACGCACACGCGCGTGTGCGCGCACGCACGCACGCGCACGCGCACGCGCGCGCGCACACGCGCACGCGCGCGCGAACGTGCACGCACGCGCACGCGCGCGCACGCGCGCGCGCGCCCACCCGCGCACGCCCGCACACGCCCGCGCACGCGCACGCACGCGCACGCACGCGCACACACGCGCACGCACGCACGCGCACGCCTGCGCACACCCGCGCACGCCCGCGCACGCCCGCGCACGCCCGCGCACGCCTGCGCACACCTGCGCACACACACACACACGCGCGCACACGCGCACACACGCGTACACACGCGCACACACGCGCACACACGCACACACAGACACACACAAACACGCACAGACACAGACACGCACACACACACACGCACACACACGCACACACGCACACACACTCACACACCGCACATTCATGCACACACACGCACACACACACACACGCACACACACGCACAGTCACGCACACACGCGCACACTCGCACACACGCGCACACGCACACACGCACACACACACGCACCCACGCACACACGCACACACGCACACACACACGGACACACACACACCAACACCCACACCCACACACACACACACCCACGCACACACACACACACTCACACACGCACACACACTCACACACACGCACTCACAGACACACACGCACTCACACACACGCACACACACACACACACACACTCACACACATGCCACAGCGGCCCGGAGGCCGGTCCAATAATGGACGGCGCGATGGCGCCTCGGCGCCAGCAAGCGGAAAACTCAGTCCTCGTTTGCCTGGTAATAAGACTTCCACAGAATCCGGTCATTTTTTCCGCGGACCTTCTGGCCTTCTAGTAGAATCGAACGGTTCCCAATTGCACGCCACTTGTGCCCAAGATTTGCTATCCGTGTCCATGCGTTTTGACCATGATACGGCGGGTTTTCGATGTCCGACCGCCCAATCCCGCAGTCCCAAATCCGAAAACTCCTGTTCCGCATAATGCGTCGCACGAACAATTTAATCTTCCCATGGTTCTAAGATGTCCACTGAAGAAAAAGAAGAGGAGCCCGATGAAAAACAAGAGTTGGATGAAGAAGATGTCGAAGTGGAAGTGGTTGGCCCCCGCGCTTTGCGTCTCGATATGCAGACGATCGTTTGTAGCATTCGCCTCTGTGTTCGCCGGATCTTGTCCTCAAGCTCGCGCGTGAGCACCCATGTGGCAGCGCCGTACAACATCGTGGTGGTCACTGTCGAATCAAATAACTTATAACGTGAAATTATGGAATACTGCCAATCAGTTAGTTACGCACGGTATTTCATGAAACGTGTCCACGCGTTGTGAATACGATTTTTGATTTCAACGTCGTGCGGGCGATCAAAACCCACCATCCGACCCAGATATTTGACGCTGCCCTTGTACGGTACAACATCGATCAACATGCCGTCAATATTCACCTTCGGCTCTCTCGGTCTGCCGCTGCCCCGCGTGGCGTTGCTCAAGATTTTCGTCTTGCCGGGATGCAGTTCCAGACCAATTTTAGCTGCGGCGCCTTTGATACATTTCAGCATGGCCTTGGTCTGCCTCACAGTGCTGGCAACGATGGGGATGTCGTCCGCGAAGCGCAAGTTGGTCAGTTGAGTGTACTCGGTAAAACCCATTTGAAGAGCCCAGCCTTTCTTCAACCATTTCAGTTTGACTTCGCTCACTACCTCTTCGATAAGACAGTTGAACAAGAGAGTGCTCAAATGATCTCCCTGCTTAGTCCCACGTTGAATGTCGCAAGGCTTGCTGAAACAATCCGTGCGCACTCGGCCTGGAGGACGACGAGGAGGAGCAGGATGAGAAGGAGGAGGAGGCGGAGGAGGATTACCCTTCTCCCCCTCCAACTCATGGTGGTGGTGGTGGAAAACAGGCCCATCATCTTTTCCTCCTCTCTTTTTAAGTCGGGCGTGCCCCTCCATAGGAGGAGTACTCAACAATAAGTTAGTCTGGGGACGATGTGCCGGCTGTTTTGATTATGTTTGATTCGGTTTGGGATATGTATCGCTTTTCTTCCCAGATGCGCCTAGTAGGAAGGTATGTCCGACCTGATCCTCTTCTTCCCGCGCCCTTCCCCTCCTCCCCCCTCTCTTTTTTTTTCCCCCGCATCGCTCGGACGTGTGCGCTTTTCGTGGCGACGCCAGCGCCAGAAATTCTGCACCATCTTTGACCCCCTCTTTTTTCCAGGCATCGCTCGGACGTGTGCGTTTTGCGCGGCGCCGCCGCCAGAACACGTGTGCCATTTCGGAGCATCCTGGACCATACGGGGAGCACAAGGAAGTGCGCACGAAACCGACACGCGCACGGGGAATGGACGTCCGAGCGATGGCAAGTTCTCTTAGGAGGGGAAAAAAACACACAGACACAATTAATCGTCGAGTCCCAGGAAAATATGGGAAAATATGGGAATTGGGCGGGAAGACAAAAACCCAGAAAATATGGGAAAATATGGGGAATCATTTTATTTGTGTGTATTTATTTGTGTGTCCTCGGGCCCCTTCATTCTCCCCCCCCCTCCCCTCACCGCTTCCCCCCCTTCCTGCTCCCCGCTTCCCCCCTGGGAGCCCTCCACCCCTTCGCCCTCCCGCCTGCTCCCCACCCCAGGGAGAGGGGGGGGGGCGCGCCACGCGGGGCCAGCATTTGTCTGCACGAACGACATGGGCACCGAAAGAATCGGCACAATGACCAACAGCAGTTCATATGTTCATTTTGAGCAGGACTCGCTGTCCGCGCCGCCGTGGCCTGTTTCCATTTGAGACAGAAGGCCGCCTGCCCAACAGCGGCCGCTGTTGGTTTGGGACAACATTTGCTGTTGGGCATAGTACCCATTCTTTCGGTACCCATTTCGGGTGTCCAAAATTTGAGGGCGAGGCCCGCCAGGGCGTCCTTCGGGAGGGTGGGGTGCGGCCGAGGCGCGAGCTGCAAGAACGAAGGCGTATTAGGATGGACGAGTGGACAGAGCGTACTCGACAGCCACTCGCGTGCACAGAGGGTTCCCGAAGGCTTCTTGTAGCACAAATATCGGCCGTCCCACGAGGCGACGGCCAGTCACGAGCAGCCCCCCCCCACGAGAGTGCAAGACCGCTGAACTTGGATGGCCGAAGCTCGCCCGGCCCTCGTGGGCCGTCTCGGTGGCCTCGTCGGTGGACTCGCGCGGTCCTCTCTCTGGCCGCCCCTGGGGGGTGCTCGGGCCCATGCCGAGTCTCTTCTGGCCATGGGGGCCCTCTCGCGCCGAGCATTTTTTTTGGGGGCGGAGGGCAGAGGGTGCAATCTGAAATGCCGTTTCGACGGATGTTCGAGGCTTGGATCTGCAAAAGGTGAATGACAAGACGGATTGATTTTCGAGGTGCAAAAGCCCATATGATATGGATTTCACCCTGAGCCCTCCACCCCAAGAAAATGCCCAGTCGCTGGCAGTTTCTGGTTGCGCCCCATGGCAACAGTGGGGCAACATGGGCTGGTCAGGAGGCTGAGATCTCAGGAGGCGGAAACAACACACAGTCAACAATCCTCGCCGATCCCCTGGAACAAAAATATGGGAATAGGTGGGAAGTGAAGGCGACCACGAACCTCCAGAAATTAGATGGAACATATGCGGCATGCTGGGGTTTGTATATGTTTTTTGTGTGTGCTTCTGGGCCCCTTTAAGATCATTGTCCTTTGTGATGACTCCGGCGCGTGCGTGGCGTGACATAGGGCTTGCCAAGGTGGTTTGCGGGCACCGAGGCGTAATTTGAGATCGTTTTTGGAACATGTTGCCCAGCGTGGACCTCAATTAGCGTGTGTGTGTGTGTCTGTGTGTCCAGCCATGTATGTTGCGAAATCTACGTTGTACAATCCATGCGGTGCAATCCATTGGGTGCAACATCTGTGGTACAACATCAGTGGTGCAATCCAACATGAGCCAGATATGTGGTGCAATAGATAAGCGATCGATGCAGTGCCATATATGGTGTGCAACCTATGCTGTGCAATTTACATGGTGCAAGCGATGTGGTGCAATCTGCGTCGTGCAAGTCACTGTTGTTCGCAGTGAGTTGTCAACTCCACTGCTCCCGCAATTACCCCGCCCATCCACCCGCAACTCGGTTTGCCAAACCCATGCTGCGGTAATTGCGATGAGTGCTTCGCGTTGGCAGGTGCATCTTTGCGGCCGCGCTGGCCCGCGCATGCTCGCGCGCGCGGCGCGACCGACGCGGCCGCGGTGGCGCTGACCGTTGGGCATTTCCTAAGGGGCACTTGAGTGCGAGTCAGTGACTTGGGCGGGCGCGGTATCATGGCGGCGTCGGCAACGGTAAACACGATGATGAGCGTATGGGGTGATGTCGAAGATGGTGCCGATGACGACGGCACGACCAATGGCGGCGCCGATGTTGATCACGCCCGCCGATAATCATGACGATGTCCTCGCGTCGGTGGTGAACATTTTGGAAGGAGTTCGACGTGCGCGCGCGGCGGGGCGCGCGCGGCGGGCGCGCGCGCGAATGGCCCGCGTGGTATGTTGACACGGATCGGGCCCCCTTCCCCTCGCACGCGCGGAAGGGCGTGCCGACAAGTTTCACAGGCGGCGTGAGAAGCTTGCTTGGCATAGTGTTATGTCAATGATGAAAAACCTGTTTGAAACTGGTGCTGCAAACCAGGTCGATCTTTTGCATATGTTGTCGTTTTTTTTGCGGGGGGGGGAATCTTCGCGTGACCTGGGATTCCGTCCCGTTTTTTTGCAAAATGATTATTGCGACAAAGCGCGCGCAAAACCATTCGAAGATGTCGACATGCGCGCGCAAAAGGCCCGTTTGGTAGCATGTCCAAATAGGTTGAGAACCGATGGTTTCCTTCGGAAGCGGCAGGAGCGCGAACGCATGCGTCTCTTCCAAAATTCCCTGTTGCGACACCACCTGTTTCATATGTTGTCGCGGCCCTCGAGTTTGAAGTTTTTGCGGGTTCTGCTGCGAAGGAAAGATTCAAGCATGCGCGCGCGACGACGCGCGCGCACGCAAACCTCATTTTAACACAGTCACCACCGACGCGAAAACATCATCTTCGCCACCGGCGTGATCAGCAACGGCGCTGCCAGTTGCCTTGCCGTCGTCATCGTCGTCGTCTCCATCATCGTAGGGTCATCATCGTTTCTACCCGTGTCGGCGTCGCCATGATACCGCGCCCGCTCAACTCACCGACTCGCAGTGAAAAGGGCCCGGGGGTGGAAATCCCCAGCGGTCAGCACAACCGCGGCCGCGTCGATCGCGTCAAACTAGCTGGCCGCTGCGCGTGAACATGCGCGGGCTAGCGCGGCCGCAAGGTGCACCAACCAACCCCAGTCATTGATCGCAATCGCCACCACATGGGTTTTGCAAACCGAGTTGCTGACGGGTGGGTGGGATGATTGCGCGAGCAGTGGAGTTGCCAACCCAATTTTTCCCCCAAATTAGTTGAAACATTTGGACGACACCGCGTAAAGTGCACCACGTAGATTGCACAACATGGAATGCTCTACGTGTGTGGCATTATTATACGTTCTGCTTCTTCAACGGAAAATAAGATATCCCCCTTTTCCGTATTGCAAGTTGTACATGTTTCTGCCCCGCTGTCCATCCGAAATTCATACCATCCCAGCCAGCCCGGTAACCATTCCCCCTCCCATCCTCGGCAGCAGTTACTACGCGCGCTTGTTTATCAAGAATCATTGGTTTTCCTGGAGGAAGGGCATACGCGCGCGGCAGACGCGCGCGAGCGGCACGCATGGGTTTATTTGACGCGAGCCCTGTCCCCCCCAGCACGCGCGCAAAAGCGTTCGAATGATTCCTGCATGCGGTGCGAGTTTTTCTGTCGAATTCGATGAATATGTTGGACCCCGATGATTTGTTGTAGAATTCGCCAGAAAGCGATCAGACCATTTTTGAACATGGATATCCCCGACCCATTTTTACCAAAAAGAGTTCGGGGCACCCGACGTGAACATCTGCACGACGCCGAATGGTTTTGCCGGATGTCGGCATGCGCGTGCGACCACGCGTGCGTGTGTACTCCGTCCTGGTTTTTCTGCAAGGGACTCTTGCGACGGCGCGCGCGCGCGCAAAGGGACGCGCGCGCGAGAGGCATGCTTTGTAGCATGCGGCGAAACAAATCATGGTTATGCTAAGACTTCGGAATATCGCGAGCATAATTTTGAGCTTGGAAATTCTGGTTGCGAGGCCCTTGTGATTTGTATAGGTTGTCGGGACACCCCTTTTAGAACTAGGATATGTGATCAACGAGGGCTCGCGCATTGTACGTTGTGCAGGGGATGGGGCGCTGGGGTGCCATGAGCTCATCGGTGGGATGGCCGATGGGGCAAAACTATTTGTAAGGTGCAATACAAATGCCACAAGGCGGTTCGTTAGGGCGATTTGTGATAAACCGAGTGTGCGCGCATAGTTTTTTTTGCATGGGATGACGGGGGGTGTCGACACCGGTTCGGTTGGAATGGTATGGGTTCATATATAGAGGATGGGCCATCGAGCAGAATCAAATGAAAGTGTCAATACGGGAAGGGGTACGGTTAACCCCAGGGGGGGGAGAATCTATTTCTTTCAGGCCAGGAGAATCTATGCGGGCGGCGACGGGGCGGCGACGAGGTGGCGACGGGGCGGCGACGGGCGGTACCGCCTGGAAAAGCCAGGACTGGTCCCCAGGCGATGGGGCGGCCACGAGGCGGCGACGTGGCGGCGACGGACGGCACCGCCAGGAAAAGCCGGGACTGGTCCCCAGATGGTCAAGACGAGTCAGAAGCCCAAGGTGCAAGCATTGTTTGGGGAAGGACTCCCGCGAACATGCTGGGCAACAGCTTGTTAGCGGGGTCAAGATGCTGCCTGAGCCAATGATGGATCGGCAAGATGCTCGTGGGCTGGCTGCAGGGCTGCGCATTCCGGCCGCGGACCCCCCCCCCTTCGGATGCAGCTCCCGGGAGGTCAAATTCTGATTTTGCCCTGGTCCGAAGTCCGGCTTATCCGGCTCACTCCCGCGCAATCCCGTTTAATCCCGCCAGTCCCGCTTAATCCGGCTTACTCCCGCGAACTCCGAGGCCCGTTCTGATGGGCCTGTTTTCCACCACCACCACCAAAAGTTGGAGGGGGTAAGGAGGAGGAGGAGGAGGAGGAGGAGGAGGAGGAGGAGGAGGAGGAGGGTCCCCTCCCCCTCCAACTTATGGTGGTGGTGGTGGAAAACAGGCCCAGCACGTTCCGGCGTAACAGCCCCGCGATGGGACTTCATCCGCTTTACTCTTTCCGACGAAGACCTCCCAGCAGTTGCTTCCTAACCCCCCAGGCCGGGCCCTCTTCTGGCCACCTTTTCCGGACCCTCCCGCGGGGTCCTCTCTCGGGCGGGGCCTCCCTCGACCCGGATCTGGCAGGTCCGTCGTGCCACATCGAGGGTACACCCCATGTAGTGCTCTGTCTGTTCTGACCTGTGCAACCTGCACGTCGAAGAAGAAACAACGCCATACAGATACACTTTTGGCGCCCCGCGCGGCTTTCTTGGATCTGCGCTGGCCCACCCCCCCCCTCGGCGGCGCCTCTGGCGCCGCCCCTGGCGCGTGGAGCGCGCCAGGGAGAGGCCCAGCGCAGTTCCAAGGAATCCGCGCGGAGCGCCAAAAGTTTATGTTGATGGCGTGCTTTTCTTCTTCTAACGTTGCCGTCGGAAGAGTCGGATCGGATTCGGATGTTCCAATCATATCCGACTGTATTCGGATCGCCGTGGGGCCCATCCTGAGGGCATCTTGGGACCACCCTGGGGTCTCGTCGGGCCCTCCTGGGCGATGTGGGCGGTATATCTTGGGCGCCTTCTGGTGCCACCCCTGGGCCGCCTTGGGCACTCTCGGGGGCTCGGGGCAATGTTGCATCCTGAAACTTTTTCTGGAGCGGAGCATCGGGCAAACAAGACACGACAAAAGCCCTTTCCGTCGCGGCGCGGCACTCCCGGCCTGGCCCAAGAGACGAGGTGGACCAAGATTTAGGTCGGGCATGTCCATCTACAGGAGGAATATTCAAAACTAGTCAAACAATGATCTGGAGAAGATCTTTGATTATTTAATCGCTTCGCTCATTCCGCCGGCCCTGGAGCCCTCTTTAGGGCCTCTTGGGGCCCCTTGGAGACCTCTTGGGAGTCTCTTGGGGCTCCTTGGCGGCGTCTTGGGGCCCCCAGAGCCTCTTGGGGGGGCTCTTGGGGGCCTCTTGGGGCGGGAGGGGGGGTAGTCGATTGCGGCTCCCCCCCTCGGAAGCCACGCTCCTCGTGAGGGGTGTCGAAAAATGGCCCTCCCCTGGAGTGCTCTGGGGGGACCTGACCGGGACCTGGCCAGGGTACTTTTCGTCCGGGGGGCCCCAGGGGCCGCTCCGCGCGCGCGAACTAGAAATATTGTTAACCAGTTTCCGGAGATCTTAGCACTCCTCTGGCCCGTTGTGCCAGCGAATTTTGGGACGATCTTTGAAAATGTTTTGACTATGTTTCATTTTCCTTCCAACATCCTTCAAAATATGCCCGACGTAGACCAATATCTTGCCCAGATGGGCCCCTGGAGGCATGGTGGTGGTGTGCCAGCTTTCCTCTGCTCGAAGAAGAGAAACGCCACAAACATAAACTGTTCGCGCTCCGCGCAGATTTTTTTTGGATCCGCCCGGAGTGCGCACAGCGTATGTTTGTGGCGTTTGTTCTTCTTCTAGATGTCCCTTTCCCTCTCCGTCTCCTCCCTCCTCTCTCCCTCGTTCGTCTTGCTGCCAGGAGGGCCTCGACCTCCTCGGCGTCATCGAGGGCCGCACCGATCCCCGCGGCCACTGCCACGAGGGCTTCATCTCGGCGCTCTCGTCTCGCCCGCCAGAGCTCTTCCCTCAGGCGCGCCTGCTGGGGAACGATCAGGATGGTTGTATGATGTCCCCGTCCTCCACCGTTTACGACCTTGCAGCTAGGGGTTCCCAACAACGGAATGCGCAGGTGGAGGGCGAAGCGTTTCCATGGTTAGGCTCACGCCATCTGGCCGCGCACCCTCGTTTTCAGCATGTCCACCAATTACACGGATGGAGGGCGAATCGTTTTCAAGATGTGGTTCTCGCTTTGGTGTGGCGCACACACGCAACCCGTTGCCATACGACGTTCCAACAGCCACACGTGGAGGTCGACCCGCTTCCAAACCTGGGCTCTCGCCTTGGCCTCGGTGTCGCGCGCACGCGTCCTAAGCAGTGCCAGCGTTTGTGCGGACGGAGAGCGGTTTCTATGGCATCCTCGCTTGGGACCTTCTCCTTACTTATATGTGCACAACTCCTGGCGCTTGCACTCGCCTCGCACTGCCCTGGGGGGGGGGAGGAGGAAACCTCCCCCGGGAGCGGAGGGTGCGGACCTGACCCATCTGCCCCCTGCAGCGCGCGGCCTCTCCGAGGCCAAGCTGGCAGACGCTGGTTGGGCTCGTGGGGGGGCACCACCCCCCCACCCCCAGGGCGCCAGCGACAGCACGTTGTCGGGGGGAGGAGGGGCAACACAGGGGAGCAGGCGCAGAAGGCAGGGGCAGGAGGAGGAGGTGGGAATAGAGGCGAGGGGGGACCGGAGGGCGGCGCAGGCAGAAGGGGGAGGACAGGGGGCGGAGGAAGGGGGGGGAGCGCGGGACAGAGGGGAGGAAAGGGACGACGACGTGGAGGGATGAGGAAGACTGGGAGCAGAGGCGAGGAGGGGCGACGTCCAGGGCACGGAGCCCACCGATCGAAATGTGACCCCCATCCGCAACCCCCCGACCGTTGAGACTCAGCAGGGGAAGCCGGCGCCACGGTAGATGGCTGCGCGGAGCTTGGGTCGTGGCGGGCCTTTTAAATTCGATGCGGAAGGCTTAGGGTTGGGCGTGGTGGGGCCGTCTCGATCGATTCGGAGCGGATCGACTGTCCATAGAACGTGGGAGACTTTGGCTGGCCCCACGTGAGGCTTAGCTGGACTCTGCCGATAGCGACGGAGCCCCGCGGCGGCCCTCGACACGCCCTCGTCCGCGTTCGAACGTGCGTCGGCAAAAACACACGGTATCGACAGCTCATGTTTTTTCGGACCGTCAGGGCGAGAAGGCGAGGAGACGTGCAACGCATGGGGCGATTTTTCCCTCCGACATCGCGGCATCTTCCTCCCGCGCATTGCTGCCTTCCCAGACCCCCGACGTCTTGTTGTTCCGACGGCTCTCCAGTGTTGTCGGGCCCTCGTCTTGACTCCGCAGCGCCCCGCGACAGTCTTCGCTTCCTCCTCCCGCTCATCCCCGTCCCTTCCTTGCGCCTCTGCTCTCCGCATGCTCTCATCCTCGTCGTCATCGTACTCGTACTCCGCATTCGCATCAGCATCATCACCACCACCACCAACACCACCATCTCCACCACCATCACCACCATCACCACCACCATCTCCACCACCATCATCATCATCATCATCATCATCATCATCATCATCATCATCATCATCATCACCATCACCATCATGATCATGATGATGATGATGATGATCATCATCATCATCATCATCGTCGTCGTCATCATCATCACCATCACCATCACCCTCATCACCATCATCATCATCATCATCATCATCATCATCATCATCATCATCATCATCATCATCATCATCATCATCATCAACATCCTCATCCTCATCCTCATTACCATCATCATCATTCTCTGTTTATGCTTGTTATTTTTTATTATTTTCGAGTGTTATCATCATCCGCATCATCATCGTCAGCGTCATGATCATTTTCATCATCATCGAAGGTCGCCGCTTGGGCACGAGTTGATGACGCAGCGGCCTCCGTAGCACACGCCTTCAACTCGAAAGCATCGAGCAGGGGGCCTTGCACCATGACATCGCGCGGGGATAACGCGCTGCGGGCTGGGGTTCGGAGCGAAGCGGCAGCGGCGGATGAAGCACGTTTCGGCGCACCGTATGCGGGCGGTGCTCACGAGCTCAGGCGCACCGCGCTCGGCTTCGACGGGTCTCTGCCGGCTTTGGGGCTGCCACTGGCCTTCCGCGATGACTTGAACCACGAGAAGAGGGCCTGCCAGATCTACGACACGCAGTTCTCCATGACCACGAGAAGAGGGCGCCGTCATAAGCGACGAGGTGCCAGAGTCCACGCCCATGCTGGGCCCCACGTCCGAGGAGAGCTTGCACGAGGGGGGGCGGTCCAACACGCACCAGCCTCCGTGGATGCGCAGTCCCGAGGACGTCGCCTACGAGGAGTACGCCTTCCTCTATAAGTGCATGTCCAACGACTGGGCCCAAGGTGCACCAGGTTACACATCAAGGGACACCTCAAGGTACACATACTCTCCCCTACATATTTCCTTCGCCACACCCCATGATCAATTGTAATTTCTTCTCTGCTCATCGCGCCGGGATAGTGGCGCAGTGCCAGCGCGTATTAGGACGCCGGGGACGCCCCTGGGCGCAGAGAGGGGTGATTCTCACGCAAAGGTCGTGTCGCACATCGTTGCGTCTCTTGATGACCAGGAGGACAAGTTGGCCCGCTTGCGGAGCCCGTTGAGCAGCACCGTAAATATGGGGTCACGGGCGAGTTGTATGGCCGGTGGAGTTGCTCGTGAACTTCACCCCGATGACCCTCACACACACACACACTCCCAGGGTTTTTCCCGCTCGCGTCACGCTGGACGGCATCGCAAAGCTCCTTTACGACACCCCAAACGAGAAGTTGAGTGCACAATTGGCCCCACTGTCCCTGAAAACTTCTTATCTTGGGGGAAGTACGGTGAGCTATCAAATAGCCTTACGGTTAAAAATCACATCGCCAGTCTATAACAGGACATTGCTTCGTTGCGAGGATATCTTGGTTCTTCTCCCAGAGTGTCCGCTCAGACCCTCCCCGGGAAGGGTCGGAATCAACGCTGTCCATTTGTGGGTTGAGCAAGTTCGCGAATGAGGACGTGGCCAGGGAATGGCTGCGACATCGGCTTTGGATCGCGTGCATCAGCGAGCCTCCTGGTATGCAAGTTCAAAGGGAACTCGTTCAAAGGTCAGCTGTTTGCAACATGCGCTACCCGCGCAGACGCCGACACCATTGCAAAGCTGATCAAAGAGGCCAGCCTGGTGGAACACGATTGCGAGAAGGCGTGCGCCAAGTTGGATTTTTTGGTGCGCGTGCGTATTCTCCAGAGCGTGATGCACACCATCATCAAAGACGTTTTTTTTGACGGTCTTGGGGGACGACAGCTTTCTGGACAGGCGTTGCTGCTTATGACTTGTGGTGTGGAGCCGACGTGGTTCTTACGACTTCGGTTTTCGAGGGCCGTTTGTCAATGCGTTTCGAAGATGGGTGGCGCGAGTGCTTCCAGGGCGCCCCGAAGTAGGATGCCGTTCTCGCTGCTCCCAACGAGAAACTTCATGTCAGCCAGACTCGCGCGAAAGGCGTTGGCGCTGGTGAGACCAGAGGCGAAACGAAAGGCTATTCCTCAGAACAGGAAAAAACACACATACACAAAAGGGTTTTATTGGTTCTACGCCGGAAAGGTTGTGTCGTTGAGAGGGTGCTTGGCACGGATGCGGGGATCGGGGTGGCGTCCGTGTTTGGAGTTGGCGGTTTGCGTGGCAAGTGCGTTTAGCTGGTCGCGTGTGTTCGGAACGCGTGACGGGTGGAAAGGCCGCCCACCAGGAACTGGCAGTCCTCTGCCCGCGGGCCAGGACAAATCGTCGCGCGCTTGCAGAGGTGGGTGGGAAAGGGGGTTGGGAAGAGACCGCGAGTCTCATCCCCAAGAAGTCCCTTCGATAGGCAGCGAACAATTCTTTTTCGATTTATCTGCCGCACGGCTAACCGAACGAACGAACAGCTGTTTCGGCGCGCGGTGTTAGCTTCGCTTGCGCGCATCCTGGCTTCAGTCCGTTGCTTCCTTCGCTTCTTTCTCGCCCTCCTCTTCTTTTCCCTCTTCCCCTGTTTTGCCTCGCCCCGCCCCCCATTCCTTTCCAGCTCGGAGCTGTCGCCGCGCGCGAAGAGCGCAACCCAGAGGGCGTTGTTGTAATCCCTTTGTGTGCCGCGAAGTCTCGTGCAATTCCTTTGTGCACGGTCTGGTTGCGCTGCCAGCGCGGGGGGCGCGCAAAGGAATTTCTTTCGCGTGCGATCGTTTTCGCCGCCCCCACAAGGGCACGCGCGATCCCTTTGTGTGGGGCTTGCCTTCCCGCCTCGGGGGGCGCGCGGGGCCTGTCGCTGCAATCGCCAGGCCGCGGCGCCTGGCAGTGCGATGCAGCTGCGCCGGATGCCGCGCCCTAAACGACCCGCGCCCTAAACGACCCGCGCCCTAAACGCCCTAATCGCGCTGGCAGCTGGCCAGCCACGTCGCCGGCCCTGCATGCCCGCGCGCGCCGCTGCGTTCTGCTGCCGCGACGCGTGCTGCTGTCAACGGATGAACGAACTGACGTTGCACGGCGGTTTGTCTGTGCCAGACCACCGTGGGATGTTCGTCGGTAGCGGATCTTTGGATCTCGTCGCCGCCGACAGCCCTGCCACGCCATGCGTGTCTCTTGCATCCTAGAGCTCGGCCGTGCATCGACCCTGGTTCGGATCGCTGGGGACCAGCGGCATGTGCGCACATGCGGTGCACCGTTGGTGGTGCCAAAACCTTGTGACATTTTTTCCCTGGCTCATAATTCCTCGAGTGCCTCTGACCTCTTTGGGCGCCGCTTGCTAGGGGCAGCTCCAGCCATGCATGTTCCTCCGTGAACTCCTGCAGACCTTCTCTGGCCATATTGGCAAACAGCGTCCGCGCTGGGGTGGGGTGAAAACTTGCCAGAGGTAGTTGCAGAACTACACGCTGTGAGTTTGGATATTGATTTCTACTTGGTAGCGAGAGCTCAAAGCCGCTCGT